CTGCTGGTGCTGAGGACCCGACCGGTGGCGCTGCTGCTGGTGCTGAGGACCTGACCAGTGGCCGTGCTGCTGGTGCTGAGGACCCGGGCGTTGGAGCTGCTGCTGGTGCTGAGGACCCGACCGGTGGTGCTGCTGCTGGTGCTGAGGACCCGGGCGTTGGAGCTGCTGCTGGTACTGAGGACTCGGGCGTTGGGGCTGCCACTGGTGTCCCTGCTGCTTCTGGAGACACTGCGCGGCCGCGACCGTACTTCGTACCGCTCCTTCAGCAGGTTCTTGGTCAGGCTCCTCCTCCTAGTCCTCCTCCCTCCGTCGAGTGTCCTCCGCCTGTCCAGCCGCAGTCACAGTTACCGCCTGCCTCGCCTCTCCCTGCTCCCTCTCCTTACACTGGTCCCACAGGAGGTCTTACAGAGCGTCGTGAGCCTGAGTCTCGTCCTGCGTCGCCTGTTCGTACTGCTCGCACTGGTCGTCGTGTCCCACGTGAGCGTCCTCCTCCTGTCCCTGGCACTCACTACATGACTCTGCGTCCCTCCACTGCTCCGCAGCGTGTCCCGCTGCCGTCTCCTCCTGCGTCCTCTCTTCCTACTCTTCCTGACCCGGAGTCTGACTCCCGTCGTGCGGCCAGTCCCACTGTTACGCGTCTCCTCGCTACAGTTGTCACTGACCCGACCTTTGAGTCCTCTGCTGCGTCTGCTCTGGTCGCTGAGTTGGTTGACTTTGCTGCTCGCTGTCGCCTAGACTACGCTGCCAGCCTTGTCGCTAGGTCTGAGTCTGCGTCTGCCTGTCCTCCGTCCGTCGGGGGTGAGTGTGCCCTCGGCACGGACGTCCTTGAGGACAGACAGGAGGAGTTCCACTGCCTTGCTGCTGCTTTGCCCCGTCTCGTGTCCTTGCTAGTTGCCCCTGAGGGAGACCCGGATGCACCAGACATCCCGACCCCACGCTCTTACGCTGAGGCGATGGCGGGTCCCTACTCCTCTCAGTGGCAGACAGCCATGGACGCAGAGATGGCCTCCTGGAAGTCCACAGGCACCTACGTAGACGAGGTTCCCCCTCCTGGGGCGAACATCGTCAGTGGCATGTGGATTTTCAGGGTGAAGCGGCCGCCGGGTTCTCCACCTGTCTTCAAGGCGCGCTACGTGGCTCGAGGCTTCAGTCAGCGAGAGGGAGTAGACTTCTTTCAGACCTTCTCCCCCACCCCGAAGATGACTACTCTTCGGGTGCTGCTGCACATAGCCGCTCACCGCGACTACGAGCTTCACTCTCTTGACTTCAGCACTGCTTTCTTGCAGGGCAGCCTGCACGAGGAGATCTGGCTGCGCCGCCCCCCTGGCTTCACTGGGTCAGTTCCTCCTGGCACCCAGTGGAGGCTTCAGCGGCCGGTCTACGGTCTCCGCCAGGCGCCACGTGAGTGGCACGACACACTGAGGACGACACTTGCGGCTCTTGGGTTCGCTCCCTCTACTGCTGACCCGTCGCTGTTTCTACGCACCGACACCTCGCTGCCGCCGTTCTACATCCTCGTGTACGTCGACGACTTGGTCTTTGCCACTGCTGACACCGCGGCACTCGCTCACGTGAAGTCGGAGCTGCAGAGGAGACACACGTGCACAGACCTGGGTGAGCTGACGAGCTATCTTGGCTTGCGGATCACCCGGGACAGAGCACGGCGCACCATCACCCTGACTCAGTCACACATGGTGCAGCAGGTTCTCCAGCGCTTCCGCTTCACGTACTCCTCGCCTCAGTCCACTCCTCTGCCTACCGGTCACTCGCTCTCAGCTCTGCCTTCGGATGAGTCCGTAGAGCCGAGTGGCCCGTATCCAGAGCTTGTGGGCTGCCTCATGTACCTGATGACCTGCACTCGACCTGACCTTGCATACCCTCTTAGCATCCTAGCACGCTATGTCGCTCCTGGCCGTCACCGGAAGGAGCACATGGATGCTGCTAAGAGGGTGTTGCGCTACTTGTGCAGTACGTCGGGCATGGGGCTTGTGCTTGGAGGGCGAGACCGGGTTGTTCTCACAGGGCACTCAGACGCTTCTTGGGCAGACGACCAGGCTACTCAGCGGTCGTCCCAGGGTTACACCTTCAGCCTTGGCTCTGGCTCAGTTTCTTGGCGTTCTACTCGCTCTTCTTCTGTTCTCAGCTCCAGTTGTGAGGCTGAGATCTACGCCACAGCCATGGCTGCTCAGGAGCTACGCTGGCTGACCTACCTGCTGACCGACCTCGGAGAGCGGCCTCGTTCTCCTCCAGTGCTGTACGTCGACAACAAGGCTGCCATTGCCTTGTGTGAGGAGCACAGACTGGAGCACAGAACGAAGCACATCGCTCTGCGGTACTTCCTTGCTCGAGAGCTGCAGCAGCGTGGTCAGCTTTGTCTGCGTTACGTGGCCACGGAGGCCAACACTGCTGATGTGTTCACCAAGGCGCTTCAGCCTTGTGACCATCAGCGCTTTTGCACTCTGCTAGGCCTTGTACCTACTGGGCCTCACTTGCTTACCTCTTGACCTTGCTTGTACTGTGATCACTGTATATATATGCCTACTTGTTTACTTTTGCTAGGTTGTGATCACTGTATCTCTTGCTTTGTTATAAACCTGCATGTGAACTGGTCTTGTGACCGCTTGCTTGTGCTCGGAATTTGTGTGGAATCCTTGAGATCCACCCTGAGCTTGCTTTGCTTTGACTGGTCTTGTGACCCTGTGGTTGTCTCCCACTGCGCCTATGGGGGTGTGTCAAACATTGTATGTTTATATTGTGTAGGCTGTAGTGGGTTACACCTTAGGGGGTACACAAAGTTAGGGTTTCCTACTTGTACCAAACTCTGTGCTAGTTCATTCATTCCTGCTCAGTTATTTCTGACATTCTTCGTCATCTCCCCCTGAAGGATAATACACTCTAAATAGCGGAGCAGGCTAGGAAAGTAGCTTTGATACTATGTGTTATGAATGAACCTGCAGAGTGCGCAGAATATCGAATAACGAGAATGAAGATTACAGAATGATGATGCAAATCAAGTGGCGAGACTAATTATGGGAAAGACTAGCTATGCGGGGAGGTCGTGTGAAGATGGCTCGGTGATAGTTGCGATTGGAGCGGGGGCCGACTCGAGTGTGGTTCGACCTACGAAATAGGCCGAACATGTTCGTCGCGTGACCCTCTAAATGTACTCGCTATACTACGAGTAGAGTAAGGAAATTGTAATTCCTTACAAACGGTCCATAGCAACGGCAGACAAGGCCTTTTACCCTTCAATTTGGGGCCCTTCAAAGCATTATTGAGTTATAGTTGCAGTCAGTGTAGAGTACACCTGATGCCTGTTTGAGCCCCTCCCGGTTGCCTTATGAAGGGGGCGTATAAGCTGTCACGAGCATTTCGCATAAGTTTCGTCAATTCGCAGCTAGCTAAAAAGAATTCGCATGTGCTTATAAACAAGATCTGTTACCTTATTTGACTTCAGTCTCTTCTGCTTGACTTCGGTCTGTTCGTTACTATTGGTTGATAACCACGCGACGCGCTTGTAATGTAGGTGCATGAGGTTGGAGTAACAACCTCGGGTGCAGCGTATCCATTCGTTACAAGGCAAATTCGCGTGCATGGGGTGAGCATCAGCTGTACTGCGGTTTTGGTTTGGGTTTGTGGTTAGGTACAGTACTCGTAGTAACGGCACGTTTGTTGCCCTGAACATGCTACTGTTGTCGTTTTGTTGAGCTGTCGGTTTCGAGTCAAACAAGGAGCCAGCTGGCAAAGAAACGGCGACCGTGGGCAAGGGAAGCCGAACGAATGCGTATTCTGAGTGCCGGTGTCCATGCTGAGCACCACCAAAATATGCATTTAGTGAAGCTTTGAAGATCACTAACCCACTCTCCAACCATTTCCGACATCAATACACTGAACCGCCAAAATATTACCCTGAACCGCCAGGATATTCCTGGTTTCTGTCCGAGCCTTGTTTTGTTTACAGTGCCTCTTCTGGGGAACGACGTGGGTACGATTGACTTCCACTGACAGTACAGTACAGTAACCACCAACAACCACCGAGGTCACGCGAACCAGCGCAGTTCCTTTGCCTTCCATTCCCCTCCGTGCTGCTTCTCGAAACCAAACACACCCACCCCCACACCACACTTACACCAATGGCAACACCGCCGTGCCACATCTGGTGGATCTGACTTTCTCTGTTTCCATAACGAATCACGGCCGTCGGATTCAGCCCGAACCGCAAGAACGAAGCTCCAAATTTCCTACGAGAAACACCTCTCTCCTTCCCCCAACTGCCTTTTGCTGCTGCTTGCTCTCGCTGTTTGCTGCCCCGTCGTCTGTTTGGATGGATGGAGACAGTGAAGGGGGGTGGGGTGGGCGTCCAAGCCCAAGGACAGTCACGTTGACTGCGTGATGAATGCACGTTTTTGGACTCGAACACTTCCCTTCTCGCACATCACATCATGATTCGTGACTTGGATAGGAATGACGCACATTGCCATATCTGCTATACCATGAGGAAGTATGCCGAATAGGGCAAACCTGAACTGAGCCGTGCGGCTTGTTCCTGATTCATGGCGACGGACACGCAGCGACGCGCCAGCGCGATCTCCCGCCTCATCACGCCCCCGCCTCTAGACCTCCCAGATCATTTCTCACACCAGCCAACCCCCCAGCAATGCTCTCCTCGCTTCCGCGCGCTCGCACCCCCTCCCTCTGCAAGCGCCACAGACGCTCCGAGTCGCACCAACTCTAACCGCCATGCCACGCCTCGCTCTCCACACGCCTCTCTTCTGTCCGGTAGCGTGAATCACGGAGAGCCCTCGTGCTCGCCTTCGCCGTCCTCGCCTCGCCTGCCGTCCGCCGCGGATTCCGCCGCGCCTGCTCGCTGTCGCTCGCGCCAAGGGCCCGCGTCCCCAACTGGCGGTCAGGCCGGCGATGGTCGTCGTCACGACGCGCGCACCGTGCAGGCCGCGGCCGTACCCGCACACGGCGCGTCTCCCTCCTCGCGCTACAGAAGCATGGTTGAGTCGAAAAGCTTTCCCGCCACCGCTTCGCCGCAAGTGGCGGCGGCATGCTCGCGGCTTCCTACGTCGCAGAGCTGCAGCGCCGCCGTGCCGCAGCGCCCCGCTTCCCCGCACGCGCATCCCCCCTTCTCTTCGCCGCGTTCCGCTTCCCCTCGCCCCCCCTCCCCGTTCTCCTCCCCGCGCTGCTCCTCGCCCCTTTCCTCTCCTAGTAGCGCCAACCATCCCGCCGCGCGCCGTCCGCCAAGCGATCAACAGCCCACGCGACTAGGCCCCTCAGCAGCAGAAGCACCTTGCGTGGACTGGCCGTCAGCTGACGTGTCACCGGCGGGATTCTCACCCGCAGGATCAGGTCCGCCGTCCCCATCGACCGCAGGAGCGGCTGTAGCGGGGCTGCGGTCGCGCAGCCGGCTCGGTCCAGGCTACCACGCGGCCGACGACGCCGCAAGCAGCCCTCGCTGCGCCTCACCCCACACTGCCCCTGCCGCTAGCCCCAGCGTTCGTACCGCGTTAGCCCCCGCCATCGCTGCAGCATCCAGCGCAGATTCCGCTGGACCGAAGGCCTGCGTTGGTGGCGGCGCAAACCGCGCTGCAGTGGGGGGTCCCGCTGCGAGCACGCCGGAATGCGACGATGTGCCGGACCGCGCGCGGCTGCGGCTGAAGGTTGAGCGGGGTAACCCGCATGACGCGCACAAGGCGGTGTCTCCGAAGAACCTGCCTGCGCGCCGTTTTGCGCTTCCGCCGAAGCTGCTGTGCGGATCCTTCTCTCCCTCCTCCCCGTCCTCCCTCTCCCCCGCCTCCCCCTCCCCAGTCCATCACTTTTCCCCAGCTTCCCCTTCCGCCCGCAATCACTCCGTCGCCTTTCCGCATTCCGCCTCTGCCCCTTTTTCTTGCCCGCCTTCCGCCTCCCCCGGATCTCCCGCCTCCCCCACGCCATCCGCCACCTGCTTCTCCTCGTCCTCCTCGACCGCGTCGCACTCGCGATTCGCATCGCTGTCGCCAGCGTCGCCTCTGGGCGTGCTAAAGTCGCCCACGCCGCATTCCCCGGCGAGCAGGTGCGCGTCGCCGCAGCCCAAGAGCCCGCTGGGCCTGACGACGGTCGCCGCGGGGACCGGCGCGTGCGCTGGTAGTGGCGCTGCTAGCACCGCTGCAAGAGGCGCCGGTGGTAGCGCCAGCTGCAATGGCGAAAGGGCTTTCTGTCAGCAGCAGCAGCAGGGGCAGAGGCGGGGGGCGATTGCGGGCGCGCAGGGGCGGGCGTTCAGCATCGCGGACTTGCTGCGCCTCCACTCGCGCTCGCCCTCCCACGGCTCTGCGCCCGATGCGCCGCTCGCCTCTACCTCCCCCTCACCCGCGCGCGGAGACTCGCAGCAGCGGCAGGGGTCTCCCCAGCACCGGCCGCAGCAGCGGGTCGGGGGGGATGGGCAGCGGAAGAGGGCGATAGTGCGGTGTGTGTCGGAGCAGGTGGAACGACGCAGCGCTTATAGCGGGGATGTGGATTTGGGGCAAGGGGGAAGGGGAGCGGAAGGGGAAGCGCGGAAGGCGAGCGCGAATGGGTGGGCGTCCGCTGACCTGGCGCTCAGACTGCAGCGCGCCGTTGCAACTGCTGCTCGCGGCCGTGCTGCTCCCGCTGCTGCCGCCAGTAGCTCCAGCTCTGCTGCTGCTAGTGGCAATGCTGCTGCAATCCATGTCGCTGTTTCTGGTAACAGGGTTACCACTTCAGGCGAGGACGCCGAGATCAGAGGGGCTGTCCACAGGTTGGAGGACGGAGAGGCGAGAGAAGAGGTGGAATGTGCGGCGAGGGGGAGGGGGAGCGGTTGGAGCGTTGATTTGGACGAGGAGGAAGGGCAGGCGGAGGAGAGCGAGGAGAGGCGGGAGGAAGGCGGAGAAGACGGGTGGGAGGTGGCTCAGGGGCAGGGGGAGAGGCACGTGGAGAAGCAGGCGGAGGGAAACGTAGAAAGGCAGGCGTGCAGCGGAGGCAGCAGCAACAGCGGCAACATGCCGCTGTGCCCGGGTGCGTTCCTGGGCAGCAGCGGCTCGTTCAACGCGCGCCCCCGCTTCCCCGTCAACGCCTCCACCTCCGCCGCCGCCGCCGCCCTCGCTGCCGGGGGCAGCTGCCGGCGCAGCAGCAGCCGGCTGGCGCTGTCGGACCTCCACAGCAGCAGCCGGGACGCGGGGGCCTTCGCGCCCACTGCTGCCAGTAGCAAGCGCCCCACTCCCACTACCGCTGCTGCTGGTGCTGGCGCTGACGGGTGCGAAGCTGGTGGTGGCGGCAGCAGTACCGGGGCCGGGCGTGTGAGCAGCAAGGGGGGCAGCAGCATGGGGTGGGGCAGCAGGAGCGGGCGTGAGGTGTGGAAGGGCGCACGGGACACGCATGGCACGCAGTCCAGCCTCTTCCAGGGGGGGGGCAGTGGCAGGCTGCTGGGACTCTCTCTCAGCCCGCTTAGGGCCAGAGGCGGCGCAGATGGGAAGGGTGGGCGGCAGGGCGATGGCAGGGGGGTGAGCGGGCCTCTCTCACCGGCCGCTGTGCCGCGCTCGCCCTCCGGTGTGGGCCTGCTGCCCTTCCCCCCCGCCGCTGCTCCTTCTGCCCTTCACTCGCCTCTGCTCTTGCCTGGGGCTGCTGGTGTTGCTGTGCCTGGTTCGCCTCTGCCGTACCAGCGAGGGAGGCTCGGGAGAGAGGCTTGGCAGCAACAACAGCAGCAGCACCAGTTGGGGCAGCAGCAGGAGCAGAGGCAGCAGCATAGCCAGCAAAGTAAGGTGCATCACGAGGATCATCAGCAGCATGTCACGACTAGCCTCCAGCAGCACACACATGTGTCATGTGTTGGCTTCAGTGTCAGTACTGTCAAAACCACCAGCACACATGTCGCAACCACACACGCCACAGTCACACAGCAATGCTCCAATAGGGCCGCCTCAGAAGCATTAGCAGCAACACAAGTCTATCAGTCCCCTGCATCGGCACGCCCAGGTGCGTCCCCAGAAGCCGCGGCACCACTGGTTGCCAAGCCAGGCAGCGAGGCTTGGGCAGCCGCAGCCAAGGGAGGTCCTGACGGCAGCCAAGGCACGGAAGAGCAGCTGCGGCAGCAGCGGCTGTGGAAGCAGTCAGAGCGAGCAGCAGAGCGGAGGAGGAAGGTGCGGGCGAACGAGTTTGTGCTGAGGAAGCCATACGCTGACATCCGCGAGGAGTATGTGGTGGCGCGCAAGGAGATCGGCAGCGGGCAGTTTGGCATCATCCGCAAGTGCGTGCAGCGCCACACGGGGCTCACGTTCGCGTGCAAGAGCATCGCCAAGGCGGGCATTCTGACGGTGGAGGACGCGGAGGACGTGCGCAACGAGGTGGGGTTCCTGGAGGAGCTGCGCGGGCACCCACACATCGTGGCGGTGCAGGCGACGTACGAGGACGACGACAACATCCACATCGTCATGGAGCTCTGCAAGGGCGGCGACCTCTTCGACCGCATCAAGCTGCGCGCCCGCATGCCCGAGCCCGCTGCTGCTGCCATCTGCAAGTCACTGGTGGGCGTGCTGCTGCACTGCCATGCGCGCGGCGTGCTGCACATGGACGTGAAGCCCGAGAACGTGCTCATGTGCCACCGCACAGATGACACGCACATCAAGCTCATCGACTTTGGCGTGGCCACGCGATTCACGCCAGGCGTGCCGTGCCGCGAGGTGCTGGGCACACCCGAGTACATCGCCCCGGAGGTGCTCAAGGGGGCGTACGGCCCGCCCGCTGACCTCTGGAGCGCCGGCGTGGTGCTGTATGTCATGCTGGCGGGGGCGCCCCCCTTCTGGGAGCGCGCGAGTAAGACGCTCAAGGAGTCCATCCTGGGGGATGACGTGCCCTTCTCCCAAAGCAAGTGGGGCGACCGGACGGCTGAGTGCAAGGAGCTTATAAGGAGGATGCTTGACAAGGATCCGACCACGAGGATAACCGGCAAGGAGATTCTTGGTGAGTAATTGTGGTCTCGCAAAGACCTTGCTTTATACGCTTTCACCTCTAACCACGCTCGCCCCCTCCTCCCCCCCCTTCTCCCCCTCCCTCCACCCTCCTGCACTGTCCTCCGAAAACATTGAGATGGAAGGCAGTGTCTCCTTGCCCACCCTCTCCTCACCACATCACCCACGCTCGCATCACTGCAAACGCTAACCCGCATCCTGCCCATCTACTCCTCTGTCCACCTCTGCAGAGCACCCTTGGATCAAGATGCACACCGGTGCCAGTTGAAGCCCATGGGCCCGACGGCAAGCGCAGGGGAGAATTAAATCATAGGTAGCTCGACTGTAGGGTACATGAAAAGGACTACTCTGGGTGGCACAGATGCTGCTACTCAGGGTCAGAACGTATAATGAAAGTGAAGCAGGAATTGATTCTTATCAAAGATAAGGTCATAGTTATTTTTAGCATGTATTTAAGACTGGATATTGGAGTTAAAAAGTACGCCATCTTCGGGTGTTGGGTCACACCTTAGACCGAGGTTGCGTGAAGGTGACGACGTGACCTTGCCAAACCAGACACGTATGTCTCGGCATTTAGGCGAGGTTCGGCAACTCGTGGTCGGGACGGAAGACCTTGGCAGTGACGAAAGGGAATTTGACCCATGAGTACCATCATGGACCGTATGGCATCTTTCTGTCACATTCATCACGCCCCTGACCTCATCCCAAGCCACATCTGCGTCAACAGGCTTTGAAGCTTCCCTCGCGGCCTTCCCTCATGCTTGACATTTGAATCCGTGTCTTCTGCCTGCGCGATCCAGATCACCAACTCAGTGCTCGACCCAACGAACCACGCATTGTGAAGATGGGCACGGGACTGACGCTCTACGGCCACGTGCACTCGCCGTTCGTGCGTCGCGTGCTGCTGACGCTCTATGAGATGGGCGTCGAGGTGAGAGCCATGGCCACATGCGCGTCGAGGCGCGATGGGAATTTCTGATTGTGGCATTTTCTCAGGCATGTCGATTCGTCGAATTCGTTGCTCCGCTACGGACTGCTCCCATGTTGGTGTGTGTATTTGGTGAGTGCGCGCGGCATTCGTCCATCATGCTCGCCATGCCGCGCCAGCATTGCGAGTCACGCAAGCGTGTGTCCCCCCTCGCTGGGCAGGATTTCGAGATGAAGGTGGTGAGCACGAGCAAGGGCGACAACAAGACGCCCGAGTACCTCACCATGAACGTGCGTCACGCGAGTATATGCAAGCACATCTCTTAGCGGGTATTAGGGATGACTGTAATGCGTCACGACCAGTGGGAGTGCTGTAGCATCCAGTGACAAAGGTGTGCAGGTGTCATGGCGTGGCGCTAGTTGCGAATGTTGTGGGTGCAGCATGCCAGTGCGCCGAGGGGGTGTGGCAGTGGTGGGTGGGTGCGATGGTGTCAGGTACAGTTGTGTCGTGCTCCACTCCTCCCTTCATATGCACTCATTCTCTCTGATCCATCTCACTCCCGCCCTCCGCATATCCCTGTGCTCCTCCCCGTTGCTCCCGCGGGCAGCCGTTTGGCAAGATGCCAGTGCTGGACGACAACGGCCGCTACCTCTATGGTGCGCGCCCTCACATCACATGCCTGCCAATCTCGTCAATCATTGCATTAGGTCCCACCTGCTAGCGTCTGAGTGGTTTGCTCATGCAAGGTCAGTCATGCGCTACAATTGCTGACCAACCTGTGCCTTGCATTGAACCATCCCTCGTGTGCAACCCCCAGAGTCGCGTGCCATCATGCGGTACATAGCAGAGAAATACGCCGAGGGCAAGCCGAACCTGGTGGGGGCAGACGTGTGGGAGCGCGCGGAGGTGAGCCAGTGGGCGGACGTGGAGGCGCACAGCGTGACGGAGCAGGTGGCCGTGGTGGTGGAGGAGAACTTCCTTAAGCCGCTCATGGGCAAGGGGGAGCCCGACAAGGCGCGCGCTGATGCTGCCATTGACAAGGTGAGGCAGTGTGGTTGTGGAGAACGTGGGGCTGAGGGTAAGCGGATGGGGTACAAGGTGGGGACATGGGGAGGATGAACGGATTGGGACATCTCTCTGTTTGCCCTCGAGTGCCCTCGCCTCTTCTTTCCTTCACACACCTGACAACCACTCCAGCTCCTTCTCAAACTCCTCAATGCTCATGCTCCCTCGGCAGCTGGGGCGGCTGTTTGACATCTACGAGAAGCACCTGCAGGGGCGCGAGTACCTGGTGGGCGCGCGCTGCACGCTCGCGGACCTCACGCACCTGCCCTACACTGAAGTGCTCTTCCCCGCCGGCGCCGGTCACCTCATCACGTCACGCCCCAACGTGGCGCGGTGGTGGGAGCGCATCTCGTCCCGCCCCGCGTGGAAGAAGGTGCAGCAGCTGGAGCCCATCCCCGACCTCACACCCACCCCCGCCTGACACCCATGCCATCCCTGCCTCACACTGGATTTCCAGAGCTTACCTCAAGAGGTTTTCGGGTGTGGCGGAGGATCACTGCAGGTTATGAAGAGAGTTATTTTATTCTGTTTGCTGGGGGGCCTTGCACACCCATCTTCTCAGGTTTGCAATGCACGATTCAAATGTCTGGCAACAACTGATGGTTTGATACCGTACGAACGTTACAGAGGGGCCCTGATTTGTCGCGTGAGAGCTCAAATTAAGATGAAAGATTAAGCCCAGTGCACTCAGCCGGTAAATTTGAAACCCAGCTGCCCAACTACAAACAACGCAATTGCTTACGTCTCTAGTTCTGTAAAATTATTCTTGCTACATCACATAGCGCAAAACAGCGAAGCCCAGAAACTGCATTCCACCATGGGGATGCGTCCCGAGCCAGGAAGCATCAACTACAGACATACGCGCAGAAGCCATATGCAGGAAGGTACGGCATGTCTGCACATGGCAGGCATGTGTGTATGGCACGTGTGTCCAGACAAGCATTTGCACGGGTGGGTGGGGAGTGCAGGAGCAGGGCAGCAGCAGCAGAGCTGCATGGCAGGCGGGGAAAAGAATGACAAGGCAGCACGGCAGAACGGCAGTGAGCGGCAGAGCAGTGCGCCTACAGCAGCAGTCGCCTGTTGGGGCGGTGCCGTGCCAATCCCTCCTCCTCGCCCACCCTGCCCTTCCCACTCGCCCCCCCCTCCTGCGCGCCTGCCATGCCCCTCTCGCTGATCCTCTGCACCACATCTATTGCCCATACACCTGCCACTCCCACCTCTTCTCCTGCGTCAAACCTTCCTCTGTGCTGCTCTCCTGCCACCCACGCCTGCTCGCTGCCCTCCCTCCATTCCCCACTTACGACCTGCTGCGCGCCCCCCTGCTGCTCTTCTCGTTGCTGCCCTTGCCCATTCTCTCTCTGCTGCTGTTCCACCGCATGCACTGCCTCTGCACGCACACACTCACGCCCCATCTCTTCACCACTCTGCACCACCAATGCTGTCGCCGCCTTCCCTCCTCTCTCCTCACCCATCTCACTTCTCCGCACCTCATCCCTCTCTAATTCACTCTTCCCGCTCTCTCGTGCCCTCCCCCCTGCAGCACTGCCTGTCCTCTCCCCTCCACTCGTCCCTGGCACTCGCCCCGCACACTCCTGCCCACTCCCGTCACCCCCACCGCTGTGCCGTCGCCTCCTCCCCTTGCTGCTGCCACGCGCCCTGCTCTTGCCATCCACGCGCTGCTGCTCGCCACCACCACGGCTCGCTGCTAAGCACTCGCCACAGGAGGCCGCGCCACTCACTGTGCCGCGCTGAGAGCGTTGCGCTGCCACCCGCCTGCTGCGCCGCACGCCCATGCGTGCCACACGGCACTGCACATGCATCCCGCCACCAGCGCTGCGTGTCAGATCAGCAGCGGCGACATCCGTGGCTGCGGCTGCCTCTCCTACAGTGCTCACCACTCCACCTGCTGCCGCACCCCCTCGTGATTCACCACCTCCCCTCCGCCCCTCTGCACCCCCCTCGTCCGCCCCCTCATGCCCCTCTGTCCCCCCAAGCAAGCGTGAGGGCGGGGTGCTGGAGTTGCCATGCGTGGTGCGCCGGGCAGCACGGCGCCGCTGACCGCCACCCATCACAGCGCCGCTACCACCACCACCACCACCACCACCACCACCACCCGCCTTGCCCTCCACTGCCTCACGCCCCCCACTGTGACTCACCCCAACCTCGCCTCCCCTGCCCCGCGCCCCAGCGCCCCCAGCCGCGCGCATGTTGTGGCCCGTGATGGCAGGGTAGCGCGACGAGGGCAGGTGCGCCATGGGGCCAAACACCCGCTCGTACTCGCCCCATATGTCCCACCTGCCATGCCATAGGTGGAGCCATGAGTCATTCGTGCGCTCTGCCTGCCATGGACTTTCATACAAGCGACATGCACAACACACAGTGTGAGGGAAGGTGTGTGTGACGCATGGTGTGAGGCATGGTGTGAGCCTGAGGCATGGAGTAAAGAAGCAAGGAGAGGCATGAGGGCACATCATGTGGCCATGGCGCAGGGCAGCTTACCAGTAGGCGAGGAACTGGAAGGGCGCATGGGCGGCGTATGCTCGTGCTGCCAGGGCGTCCACCGTGCCAGCCGTGCACCCCTTGTGGCCCCTCGCCTGCACCATGGGGCCGGCCAGTGTGGCACACGTGCTGTGATGTCATGCTGTGTGATGTGGCGTTCAGCATATAAAGAATGTACTTTCTCAGGATGGTTCATTGCTGTGCGCCTTGCAGCTTGATTGCATACTGCACTGTTCGAATGCACAGCATCATCCAAGTCATGCGTCACACGACACCACCCTGCCTTGAAGAGTGCTTGGCGTAGCTTGCCACAATGCAGGGTGGCACACACCTTGGCAGGCACGCGCCACGCACCTGGAGGTGGCGGATGGTTTCGGAGTCAGCAGGCACGAAGCAGAACACGCCCATGCACTGCAGTGCGTTGGCTGATGAGAACGGCCCAAACCCCGGCAACCGCTGCACCCTCTGCCTCACCGCCTCCTCCCACCGCACCTCCCCTTCCTTGCCCCTCCCACACCCCTTCCTCCTCCGCGTACTTGCTTGCCTCCTCCCCCTCATGGCGCCGTGGGTCTGCAGCACAGTGCCAGGGCAGGGGGCTCCCTCGCTTGCTGCGCGGCTGCTGTCATAACGGGTCACAGGCGCCTGCGTCTCCTCCACTGCCGCCGCTGCACTCAACTCTCCTCCATCGCAACTCCTCCTACGCTTCCTCCTGCAAGCTCCCCTTGTCGCATGCACCCCCACATCGCCTGCACCTCTCACCGTCGCCCCCTCACGCGCCCCCACGGCCTCGCCGGTCCGCTGACCGCCCACCCCGCCTCCTACAGCCGGCTCCTCCGTCATCGCCCCCGCCGCACTCACAGCTGCCACGTCACTGCCGCACCCGCTTTCTGGACTCTCCTGCAGGCAGTCCCTCTGGAGTGATTCCAGGTCAATGGCACCAGATGCCACGTCAGCTGCCAGCTTGGCAATCCGTGGGCCTCGGTACCCCAGCCCGCACCTGCTAGTTAGGTACGGAATCTCCAAGCCTGCGAGCTCTTGCGGCTCGGGAAAAGCACCAACACAGTCAGGCGAATCTGCACGAGAAAGCAGAAGGGGTGTACCGGCAAGACACAGGGGTTGAGTGCAGTGCAGCGAGGGGAGGTAGGCTGATGCAAGAGAGACGGTGGCAGGCAGTGAGGCAGCAGGGAGGCCAGGCGGCCGAGCAATGCAGGCAACGAGAGGAAACACGCGCACAGGTGTACATTCGTGTACGAGCGGTGTGAGGTGCGGGTGCTGTGTACGGCAGACAGGCAGCAGACAGGCGAGGTGGTGGCAACTAGAGCCTACAGGTGGGAGTGAAACCCCACCTCCACCGCACCTCCCCTACACCACATGCTCCACGCCTTGCCGCCTTGCTGCCCCCTTGACTGTGCAGAGCAGCTTGTGAAGGCAGGGCGTTTATGGGCGTGCAGTGAAGCAGGCAGGTGTTGGCGCGACATGAATGAGCCGACCAAGGCGGTGCAGTGACAATGACAAGCCTCACATCCCACGCACCTCCTCTGCACATCCTCCACCCTGCCACCCTCCCATGTTGCCAACCAGTGGATCGCCACTTGCAAGCGGCACATTGTATTGTGCAACGCACCACTTGCCTAGTGAGCTTGCGGTTGCGGCCTGTCCAAGGTGAGATGGAGGAGGGCGTGGAGAACTCACCGCGTGCACCGATGGGAGGGCCGAAGTGGTGGCGCTGCAAGAGGCACAGCGCCCGTGCCATGCCCAGACTCCTGCCCCACCCGCCTGCATGCCACACCGCACCGCACAGCACAGCACAGCACAAGGGACGCAGACACACTGTTAGGGGCGAGCGCTGTGAGGGACGAGCGTTGTGGGGCACGGGGAGCTTGGTAGGTTGATGACGAGACAGGAGGGGAAGGACCCAGACGAGAAGAAGGGTGGGGACGAGAAAGAGAGTGAAAGGGAAAAGAAGAGAGACAAGTATGTGAGGAACACAAAGCTGACAAGGGATGGCTCCCTGCTCACAGTTGCACAGCAGCTGCCTTGACTCACAGTTGCACAGCAGCTGCCTTGACTCACAGTTGCACAGCAGCTGCCTTGACTCACAGTTGCACAGCAGCTGCCTTGACTCACAGTTGTACAGCAGCTGCCTTGACTCACAGTTGCACAGCAGCTGCCTTGACTCACAGTTGCACAGCAGCTGCCTTGACTCACAGTTGCACAGCAGCTGCGCCTTCACGAGGTCCTCAAAGAGCGACGGCGAGCGGTACAGCCGCCCAAAGCCGGCAGCAGCGGCGGCGGCGTGGCGGCGGTGGAAGGCTTGAAGGGCGGCCTGGCAGGCGGGCGACAGGCGCAGCATGCGCCTCACCTGCGCCTGCAGGGGTGGTGAGAGGGCAGGGGCGGGCGGGGAGGAGGTGCGGCAAGGGGTGCACGTGAGGTTGGAGGCGATGGGCGTAGGGAGGATAGAGCGCAGGATGCTCAGAGACCGGCCACATGAGAGGGACAGCCCTCATGAGAGGGACAGCCCTCATGAGAGGGACAGCCCTCATGAGAGGGACAGCCCTCATGAGAGGGACAGCCCACATGAGAGAGGATCTAGTGTGGGGCGGATCTAGTGGAGCGGATCTAGTGTGAGGCGGATCTAGTGGGGGAGTGGTTAGTGAGTGAGATGGACGAGAGGTGAGGGCGGGCGAGGATGGCAAGGCGTGGCGAGCAGAGGGGGCAAGAAGGGTGAGGGGAGCAGCAAGCAGCAGCGGAGGAAAGAGATGACGAGCGGTGGTTAGCAGGCATGCGGTGCATGGATGGACCGTCCAAGGGCTCACGAGCAGGTGAGCGTGGTCCGCTGCAGTGATGCGCGCCAACCCCATCACCCTCACTCGCAGCCATGTGCCTTGCCGCACCGCCACGCTCGTACCCCTGCCAGCAGCAGCAGCAGCATCAGCAGTGGCGCTACTGATGGCGGTGGGGGCATCCCCATCGCACAGGGCGTCAGCAGGCTCCTCCTTCAGGCCTGCGCTGCCGTCGCCACTGGAAAGTTCCAACACGTCAGCAGCGCCATGCTGTGTGACGTCAGCAGCGCCATGCTGTGTGACGTCAGCAGCGCCATGCTGTGTGACGTCAGCAGCGCCATGCTGTGTGACGTCAGCAGCGTTATGCTGTGTGACGTCAGCAGCGCCATGGTGTGTGACGTCAGCAGCGCCATGCTGTGTGATTCGCACCATCACCGCGCGCCCATCAGCCAGCCTCAACGGCCGCTCCATCTCTCCCCATGCTTGCTCTCCCTCTTCCCATGCGTTCCCACTGCTCCCTCGCTCCCCTTCCTCATCGAGCCCTTTCCTCTCTGCATCCGTCCCGCTCCCCTCCGCCCCCTCCCGCCCATCCCCCGCCTCCCGCCTGCCTCCTTCCGCGCTCCCTGGTTCTCCCGCCGCCTCCTCTGCCTCGCTCTTCACTCCCAGCCCCTCTTGTGCCGTTGATTCACTGACACGTGGCGGAATCCAGACGGTCGGCGCCATCATAAAGAATCCGTAGCTGCAAACGGCAGCGGGGAGGGAGAAGCCATCAGGCAACGCCACGTGGAGACAGACGGACAGTTCAGGTTCAGCGAGCGACAACGACGATTGCCGGCCGTCCGTGCTTTGAGTGTTGTCGGAGGCAGCGAGGGCTTCCATGATGCGGATCGCAGCGGGGCGCGCGCGAGGCTCCGAGCTGACGGCGGACGCGAGTGGGTGCAATTCGCGCGCGCCGCACGTGCTGCGAGGCAGCTCACACTCCCACAGAAATGGACGAGCTTTTCGTGGCGCTCAGCAATTCTTGCCTTCCGACGCGGAATCTGCGGCTTTCCTTCGGCATTATTTCGGTGGCGCCGACGCAATTCGTATTTGATGCCTTGCCAGTTCGCTCGAATGAATACTTATCAGCGAACTCAAAGTGGGGAAAACACAGATTTTTTTACTGTAACCTACCGAATGATAGAATAACGAGGTTAAAATATGTGGAAACGAGCTAGGCGATGTGGTCGGTTTGGTTTGTTAGGGCGTGTAAGATCCCCGTGCACACAGAATCGGCCATCAAAATTAGGTGGCCGTAGCGAAAATAACCATTTCGTGATTGGTTTGCGAATCTCGTCGATTTCGGCCATCAAAATTGTGATTTGATGGCCGAAAAACCCAGTCGACTCTTTTCCGACGCGTGGTCGACTTCAAATCGGCCATGCTGTCGACAACAGCTGGCCACAGTAAAAAACGAAGTCGCATACGCTGCTACAACGAAATTGCGACGTCGCATACATGTATGCGACGTCGTCGCACCAAGTCGGAAAAAAAGGACAAACCGAAATCTTCCACCTCTGTTATTTCGGCCAGCAAATCCGTGTCATATTTGGAGGCCACATTGAGGTGGCCGAAAATTTGTCGGCCTGGTGACGACTCATCCGTCGACCTTCGCGAAAGCTTTGTCGACCAAAATGGTCGACAAAATTCAGCCAAAACGTGTGCACGGGGATCTTACACGCCCTAAGGGTGCGTCAGATCCGTTACAAAGTGATTTGGCTGGAATTTGGTCGACAATTTGGTCGACTAAATCTTTCGCCAAAGTCGACAACAGGGTCGACATAAAAAACGACCAATATCCGGCCACATTTTGTGGGCCGAAAAATCTGACACATTTGGTGGCCGATTTGCAGGCCGCTTTGCAAATGTGTCAGATTAGCAGGTCGCGAGGGTGGCCGGATTGTGCGACGCAGTCGCATATCCAATACTTGTGTGACACGTTGCGTCGCACGAGTTGGCGACGTCGCGTAGTTACTGTAGCGATTTCAGGTCGACAAATTGGTCGACTGGCGAGACGATTGCACGTCGGAACTTTGTCGAATGCTGAACCGGCCATCAATTTTTTAACAAATGGCCGGATTTGGCGAAATGTACGATTATTTGGGCGATTGTCGCAAATGCGTTACTTTCGCTAATTCCGGCCGGCCGGATTATTCCGACAACGGATCCAGGGCCCAAATTTCAAGGGTATTTTACCCTTTTTGCCTTGCTCATAGGCCAATTTTTGACAGTTACCCTTTTCAAATCAGGGTATGCAGTTTTTTACCCTAGTGAAATCAGAATACGCTTAAAAGTACTCTTGTAGGTTTTCCAGTTACACTGACTGTATCAGGGTAGGGGTTCAACTACCCTTTTACCGGAACTTTTCTGTAGCGCGGATTCCGCCACAGTCCGCGCCACGACGAAATGCTCCACGGTCCCACTGGACCATTTGTTGGATACACGCACTGGCGCGCCAACGTACATTCGGGGCGGATGGCACCGCACACCTACGATTGGTCCGTTCAGCAACATTGAAGCCAACGCACCCAGTTTCCGTGCGTTACGCAACATCGCGCACCTCCAACGGAGCCACAGTGCGCGCCAGGTGGGGTACGTGCTGTCGTTTCCACCACCTGGCAGTCACTGTGGCCTTGCAGCCTATGCCATGCAGTTCCCTACCAGCGAGGGAACCTTGCTGTTTGAGGCTCCTTGGGCTTTGTGATTCCCGAGGGGTCTCTCTGACTCTCGCCATTCTCACGTTTCCCTCTCCGTTGTTGTTCCGAATGCCTGCCTCTGAGCCTGATCCGCCTGGTAGCACCAGGAACGGTCTCTCCGTTCTCGGTGTGTTACCTCGGCTGGCTGAGAACTATAGCGTCCCTATCTCTCAGCCTGCGCGTGAGACGTCCCCTGAATGTCTTGTCGGCACCGTTATCCCGTGCGAACGTTCAGCATCGCCAAAGTCCCGGGAGCCACACCCGTCTCTCGAGCTTGTTCCCGATGGCGGCGAAGGCCCGTCGAAGCCAGCCACTGCAGCCCCGTCCACAATTAGCACCGCGCCCGTGAAGCGACAGCGTGTGGGCGTGACATACAAGCAGCAGAGGCTCTGGGGCGCCCCTCCTCCACGACAAGCGGCATCACCGCCACGCCGTGCTGCTCCTGCTGAGCCGAAGCCTCCAACCGCTTCTGCCGAAGCTGAGTATGAATTGGTAAAAATCACCTTCGATTCGCAATGGTCAAAGAAATTCAGCTGGCTGCGCTTGATGCGCATGACTAACGGCAGGCCGTCATTGAAATGTGCCATCTGCATCAAGCACGGGGATCCAAACGCGCACACTGCCTACGGCGTCAGAGGTGAGGGTGCGCGAGACATGCAGCTAGGGAGCATCCGCGCGCACACATCAAGCCGAGCTCACAAACAGGCCTTGGAAAACGAGGCCAAAGCAAACGCGGAAAAGGCCAAGCAAGCCACACTGACAAGGTGGCAGAGCACCGACGCAGCTACACGGCACATCATCCGCTGCCTCCACATCGCGCTATTCATCTGCAAGGCTGACGCGCCAATAGCCATGTTTGTTCCATTGTGCTGGTTTTTGGCTAGGGAAGGGTTGCCGGACCTTCCTCCGTCCGGAGGGTACGGCGCCTACTACACCGAGTAAGTGCCGTTTCTGGCGCTTGTCATTGTTCCGTGACTTCTGTTGACGAGATGCTAATGCTAATTCTGTGCGTGTCCCATGTGCTTTGTCCTCGCAGCTACGGTTTCAAAGAGATGCTGCGCGCCACCTCCACGTACCTTCAAGAGACTCAACGCGGCCACCTGCTGGACTCCCCATGGATCGGCATTTGTCTTGATGAAAGCACCGACCGGGTGAATGGCAAGCACCTGATTCTCTACGCGTCTTTCTTCAAAGGGACCGCACCGGTAACGGAGTTTTTAACACTGATAACCGTGGACCGTGCCGATGCGGCCTTGCTAACCTCCGCTGTTGTGCAGTACCTTACAGGAATCGGGGTAGATCTCCAGAGGATCTCCGGAGTATCTACGGACGGGGCCAGTGTGATGACCGGCAAGAACAACGGGGTCGTCGCGAGGCTGCGAGTGCGCATTCCTCACTTGGCGTCGACTCACTGCGTCGCTCACAGGTACGGTGGTTGCATCGGTGTGTTTATAAACTAACCAGATCAACGAGTAATAACGACACTGAAATGTTCCACATGATTGCGCAGGGAGGCGTTGGCAGCTAAGGATGCCGCAGAGGCAGTCCCCGAGCTCGGCATGGTGGACGACGTGGTGCGTGCTTTCTCCGAGTACATCGGCCGCAGCAGCGTGGATTACACCAAGTTTCAGAATTTGCAGCGCGTCTACTGCCAGACGAATCTGGAGGCGCAGGGCATACACGACGTGCACTGGCTCTCTCGGGGCGAGGCCATCCAGCGCTTCCTTGACGTTCTGCCTGCAGCCATCGTCGTGCTGAAGGACTACAAGAAGGACTTGTACGAGGTAGTCACCTCGTTCAAGTTTCACTGGATGATCCGCTTCCTCGCGGATGTCCTCTGGGAGCTCAACCAACTCAATCTGCGCTTTCAGCAACGTCAGGTAACACACAGTCTAGCGATTTTGTTGTTACACGCACGCCTGCAAAGCTCCCTCTGACCTTGTATTTTGTACGTGTGCAGGTGGACGTCACCCTCGTGGCGCACCTTGTTCAACAGACGCGAATGCGCCTGAAGGCGCGCTACTTCGACAGGTCCCCTGGTCACTTTTTTGGCAGCGGAGAGAAGATGCAGCTGCCAGACTTCATCAGAGCTCACCAGAAGCAGGATCAGCGTCAAATGAAAGCGGAAGGCGTTGACGCGGATGGCAACGCCGTCTCCTTCGAATTCACCCTGCACGAACGCCCCCTGCCAGGCCACGAGACTGGAGGTGATGTGACAGCGTGCTTTGAGCTTTCGCTCAAATTCATCCGCAAAGTGGACGAGGAGCTCGAGTGGCGCATGCGCGACCTCAACCACCTGGAAGGCGCCAAGTTGTTTCGCACGGCGTCGTATCTATCCGATGACACCAAGCGACTGGAGGCCTTCAGGAAGTGGCTTGGCCAGCTCCACAAGCTGTACAACCACAAGCTGCCTGGTAAGCGTGCTGTCTGATGTGTCGGGTAGCTGAAATTGACATGCCGGCAACATCTTTGCACCTCCTTGTTTCCCATTGCGCTTCTTGCTGCTCATCACCCTGCGCAGTATTGTTGGATTAATGCCTCCCACTCCTACCCCTATGTCTTAGCATGTGCCAAATATCAACCCCATCCACACTACCAGGGTTCGACTACAAGCGTGCCGGCCAGGAGCTCTGGATGTTTACCTCGACCATGTTCTCCCAGCACAACGGCAAGGAGTTTCATCAGGCGCTGGGCAACAAGCTGCGCGACGAGGCGTGGCGTGCTTCGTTTCCCAACATCGTCCGGATGTGGCAGTCTGTCGCCGTGCTACCACTGAGCACGGTTGAATGTGAGCGCGGCTTCAGCAAGCAGAACCTGATCAAGACGTGGGACCGCGGCAGCCTCGGCGACACAAGCCTTGAGCACCTGATGCGGTGCTCCCTCCTTCAGTACGACGTAGACTGGTACGAGGTAGTCGCCATATTCCGCGGTGAGAAGCTCAGGCGTTCAACGAAGGACTTCTCCGGCATGCAGGCCAGCAGTGCGCAATTTGCAGATGAGGCAGTTGCTAGTGCAGCAGACGTTGGTTGACAAGTGGCTGTAGGATGGTTTTTTAAACTAGATAGTAAAGCTTGTGTGCAGAACACTTTACTGATAAGTAAATGTTGGTGTAGTAGAAATTCGTGCGTAGGAAGGAAACAGTGTACGAGATACATTACCCTGCTGAAATCAGTGTATCTTAACTTTTAGGCTGCTACAATCAGTGTACGAGAAAAAATACCCTAACAGTCAGGGTACGGAGGGCCTGCCACCCTGATTTGAAAGAGTGAGCTAAAACCTATTTTGGGCCCTGAACGGATCTGACGCACCCTTAGTTTGCCGAGAAGTGCGGTGGCGCCTCGCGAGTGGTTCGGGGCGAAATTGTAGGCCGAACCAGCAGAGTGTGCACAGTCAAGTGTTTGTGAAGAACTTTGGCGAAATTGAGGGTCTCGGAAGGAACTCGCTAAAGAGTGTGCACAGTCAAGTGCAAATCCTTAGACCAGTGCATCACCACTTGAATAATATGTTCTACTCATATCATTTTCAGTTTCTTGCAACAGTCAAAACATTGATGCTGGTCAAACTCTACAATGCAGTGATTGTGTTAAACGGAGCAAGGGGGATGGCTTTCACAACGATGAGAGGGTTAGGGGGGAGTGCATGGATCCAAGCAGTGAGGCGTATTGTTGGCGCTTGGATGGCCACGTGATGGTTGCGTTGATGGGCGAGTTGATGGGCGCGTTGTGGGTGCATCGTTCCTTGACGGACACTGGTTCCAGCAACAAAACGAGGGACCTCACATTAGGAAAAAAATGCAAGCTGTGGTCATTGCAGGAGTCCTTGAATGTTTCTCAGGTGCTCTTAGGGACTTAGGTTTTCAGGTGCTGTCAGGGGCTTTGGTTTTCAGGTGTTGTCAGGGGCTTTGGTTTTCAGATGCTGTCAGGGGCTTTGGTTTTCAGGTGCTGTCAGGGGCTTTGGCTTTCAGGTGCTGTCAGGGGCTTTAGTTTTCAGGTGCTGTCAGGGGCTTTTGGTTTTCAGGTGCTGTCAGGGGCTTTGGTTTTCAGGTGCTGTTAGGGGCTTTGGCTCTCAGGTGCTGTCATGAGTGCTGCATCAGGTGTCAGTGTGTGTGAGCTGAGGTGCGGTGCTATGAACATGTGGGCTGCTCGTGGCCTCGCATGCGAGCGGAGCAGCATGACAGGGCGGGGAGTGGAGCACTGAGCAGGAGTGGAGGGGCGTGGGGCAGCAGGAGGGCAGCTAGGTAGGCAGCAGGAGGGCAGCTAGGTGGGCAGCAGGAGGGCAGCTAGGTGGGCAGCAGGAGGGCAGCTAGGTGGGCAGCAGGAGGGCAGCTAGGTGGGCACGAAGTCATGGACATCGCCACCGTCACTGTGCACCACGGCTGCCAGCCTGCCACCCAGCACGGCCAGCAGCAGCACCACGGCAGCCAGCAGCACCATCTGCAGCACCCCCTCCACTGCCCTCTCCAATGCTGTCACTGCCGCCACCACCCACGCCCTCACTCCCCTCCCCTCCACCACCTCACCTCCCCCCTCTTCTCCGTCCTCCCCCTCACCCCCATCCGTATCGCTGACTCCAGCAGTGGTTTCGCGGCTCAAGTCCCCATCGCAGCTCTCTCCCTTCAACATTTGTCGCACTTCCTGTCTGCTGTGACCACTGCTCATCCCCCCCCCACCGCCACTCACACTCGCACTCACAGCACGCACCTCACCACTGCTGCACGCCTCGCTGCTCCCTTGCCTCACCTTCGCCCCGACCCCCACTGCCCCACTCACTGATTCACACTCATCCCCTTTGCCCCCTCCCTTCCCCCCTGCGCCGTCCCTCCCCTGTGTGCCAGCCCCCATCGCACTGCCTCTCCCTCCACACTCCTCTCCTCCCTCCACCTCCTCACCGAATGCACCTCCCTCCCTGTCCTCGCCCCGCCCCTCCCCCGCCTCCTCTACGTACTGCTCCAGCTCTGCCACGGCCTGCTGCTGCTCCCTCTCACTCGCCTCCAGCACCCTCACCTCCTGCTGCACCTCCTCCTCCCATGCGCCCTCGCCTGCACCACCAGTCACAGCATCATCAGCATCAGCAGTGGCAGTGACAGGTGCAGGTGCAGGTTTGACCGCAGCACTGTCTGCCACTTGTTCCGCACTCGCAGTAAGTCCACGCACACCGAACCTGCTGGGAGGCGCCTCACATGTGAGGCGGTGGGCAGCCATGGGGTTGTGGTGCATGCTCCACCGCCCACACTCCATGGCGCCACTCATGTGGGGAAAGGGAGACCCGCTGTTGCCGCTCGTGCTGCTGCCTGCTGTGGGCGTGCTGAGAGCAGTGCTGCTGCTGCCACCGCCGCCCTGGGCGCCACTGGGAGTGCGGGAGGTGCGGGGGGGCGAGGGCGGGGGGAGGGTGTCGACCTCGTCCCCACTGAGCGGCGTGTGCTGCAGACTCCTCGCCAGCGCTGCCAGCGGCACCGGGCACTCCAGGTCCTCCGCTCGGATGGGGGACGCCTGGGGGTGCGCGGATGGCGGGATGGGGATGGGGGGATGGGGGGATGGGGGGATGGGGATGAGGGGATGGGGGAATGGGGGGATGGGGGGATGCGGGATGGGGGGATGGAAGGATGGAGCAGAGTTTGAGGAGGCAGAGTGAGGGAGGTGTGGGTCTGTGGCTGGAGGTAAGGACGGGGCTAATTCCAATGGTGGGACGGAAGGATGGGAAGGGCACAAGGCAAGCGGAGCCAAGGGATGAAATGGGGGAGGAGAGGGAGAGGATGTAAATGGGGTAAAGCAGATGTAAGTAGTTGAAGGGAGATGGAGGGGAAGCGAGAAAGAGATGGATTGGCACAAGGAGAGGGAAAAGTGCAAGAGAGGGATCAACGGAAGGGAAATGTGGGAGAACAGCTCTTTGTGGAAAGGGAGAAATGATTGTAAGGCGAGGGAAAGGACTCAGGCGCGCGATTCATGTAGGAGAGTGACAATTGAACGATGGGAAGCAGACAGATTGGTGGAAATGAGGGATAGGTGGAAATGAGAGGGACTGGTTGGGAGGAAGGGGACAGTTGGAAAGGAGGGGCAGCGGGTAGGAGAGGGAGAGATGGGGAGGAGAGGGAGAGGTTGGGAGGAGAGGGAGAGGTGGGGAGGAGAGGGAGAGGTTGGGAGGAGAGGGAGAGGTGGGGAGGAGAGGGAGAGGTTGGGGGGAGAGGGAGAGGTGGGAAGGAGAGGGAGAGGTTGGGAGGAGAGGGAGAGGTGGGGAGGAGAGGGAGAGGTTGGGAGGAGAGGGAGAGGTGGGGAGGAGAGGGAGAGGTGGGGAGGAGAGGGAGAGGTTGGGGAGAGAGGGAGAGGTGGGAGGAGAGGGGGAGGTGGGGAGGAGAGGGAGAGGTTGGGAGGAGAGGGAGAGGTTGGGAGGAGAGGGAGAGGTTGGGAGGAGAGAGGGAGAGGTGGGGAGGAGAGGAGAGGTGGGGAGGAGAGGGAGAGGTGGGGAGGAGAGGGAGAGGTGGGGAGGAGAGGGAGAGGTGGGGAGGAGAGGGAGAGGTGGGGAGGAGAGGGAGAGGTGGGGAGGAGAGGGAGAGGTGGGGAGGAGAGGGAGAGGTGGGACGGTGTGCTCACATATCGGTGTTTGCTGGTGGTCTCCCCTGGCCTGCTCGCCCGCACACTGCCACACAGCGACTGCAACGCACCCACATGCTGCACCTCCCCTCCGCCTCGCGCTGACGTGGCACTGCCTCTGCCTGATGCCACACTGTCCCGCGCTGACGTCACGCCACTCCCCCCGTCCATAAAGAGGGCCATGGGCGGGGGAGGTTTACCCTGCAGCGTCCACCGGCCAATGCTGCCGGGGGGTGACAGGCAGCTCGCGCCAAACCCACTCACCTCCTCCCGCCCCTCTCCTTGCCGCTCCAACTTCCCGTCCTCTCGCCCTCCCTCATCCCCTCTGTGCACCTGCCCTAGCCCTGCGCCTCTCTCCTGCTGCCCGTGCACCTGCTGCTCCGCGGGCTGGGGGGGCGGGGCGAGCTGCATGCTGGCTGGGAGGGACGGAGGTGGGGCGAAGAGCACGGGTGTGGAGGGCTGGCCGGGGGAGGGTGGGGGCGGCTCAGAGGTGCGGTGCAGCGCAGGTGGCGCAGAGTCCATGGGGAGAGTGGTGCGGTGGGCGTTGGTGGTGCCGCTGCTGCGGCTGCCGTCCTTACTGCTGCCCGAAGGGTGGCTGCTGATGGGCAGGGCAGGAGAATGGGGGGGGAGGCATGGCTGTCAACATAATGGGGGAAGGGCAAATAGTGAGGAAAGGTAGGAGCATGGACGGAGTGCGGGGATGAAAAGGGTGGAGAGCGTAAGGAAGAGGCAGTGTCCCCGAGAGGTGCAAGAACAAGAGGGATGTGCGGGCTAGCGCGGCAGAGACCTGAGGGCGGAGAGGGCGTGAGTGGCGTGCATGCTGGCGAGCGCGGAGGCGACTTCAGCGTCGGAGATGAGACGGCAGAAGCCCGACGACTCCTCGCACTCGCAGCTGCCCTCCCCACTGCCCTCGCCACCAAGCTCGCCTGCCCTGCTACGGCTGCCAGGGGAGCTGCCTGCCGCTGCTGACGCCTGCACTGCCCCCTCCTTGCCATCGCTCGCATTCACCCCACTCTTGTGCGCACCACTCCCATGGGCGCCCGTGCTCTCTGCCTGCACAGCCAACTGTGCTGCCAGCACGGTCCCTTTGCCGTCGCCATCCCCCCCCTCCCCTGCCGCCTCGCAGCCCGTTGACGCGTGTGCAGCCCCCCCACAAGTGTCCCCACTCAGCCGCACAAACACCCCACTGCTGCCCATGCCCACACCGCCACCCGCCCCTGCTCTGCTGCCCACGCCACCATTGCTGCTGCCGCTCTGGGCACTGGCGCCTGTGCCTGCATGCGGAGGCAGGTGCAGCAGAAAGCCCGCATGCCCTGACCCCTCCCCCACCCCCCCTGCCGTGCCCGCCTGCGTGCTGCCCGCTGCGTGTGCGTGCGTGGGCGGCGAGGCGAAGGGCGAGGTGACGAGGTGCGCGCGCTCCAAGGAGAGCCCTGCGTGGGCTGAGCCCGACGCCATGGCTGGGTCTGTGGGGCGCACGGCACAGGGCAGCAATGCGGGGAGTGGAGAGAGGCGATGAAGGTGGCGTGTGGAAGGCAGTGGTTGAGGGAGCGGAGAGGAGAAGGAAGGGCGACTGAGACAATCTGGCAAGCATGCATGAAAAACAAAGGAGGATACAAGCTGCCCACACGTGTAATGCAAGCACGATTGGGGCACAGCACACCTGAGAGAGTGATGCGCATGGGGCTCCCTCTGCCCCCTCCGCCACCACCACCCCCCAGCGCCCCCCCCGCCATCCTGCTGCCGCCCAGGCGGTATGCCCCCAGCTGGTCCGGGCTGCCGGAGGTGAGGCTGAACGTGCCGAGCCTGGCGGAGAGGTCGGGCGACTTGCGGGCGCGCACGAAGGCAGCAGCGAGCTCGTAGAGGGGCGAGTTGGTGCGGCTGTGGGGCGACCTCGCCTTGCCTCCTCGCAGCGCCTCACGGCCCTCGCCACTCGTGCTGGGTGACAGGCTGCTCCTCGCGTTGCCCCTGCTGCTCTCACTCGTGGGGCTCCACTCCCGCCCACCCTTGCCACCACCGTTGCCAGCAGCAACCTGCCCCATGGCCTTGTGCCCGCTACCCCCAGCCCCAGCATTCTCCTGCTCCCCACGCCCACCCGCCCTGCCTCCTCTCCCCCCTGCGCCCCCCGATGCTGCTGCCTGCTCACTCAACTCATGCGGCACCGATTCAAACGAATTGCCAGCGGAGTGAAAGGTTAGCAGGTCAGGCGAGAAGGCACTGCGGGGCACATCCCTCGACACAGTCTCCTCTTGGAACACCCTGCGCCGCACCGACCGCAGGTCGTCCGGACTCTGCTTATTCCCACCATGGTCCGGGGAGGCAAACGCCTTCCCTTGGGTGGAGCCGGCGCCGAGGTAGAGGGAGGGCGAGGGGCCGAGGTGCGAGAGGGAGGCGGGCGAGCGCGCGGAGTAGGGCGCGGAGGGGGGCGGCGTGGCGGAGAGGGCGCTGCCGTGCACCGCGGTGGTGGTGAAGGTGGCGGTGCTCCGTGCCTGGAAGGCTGTGAACTGCCCTGGCGGACTCTGGAAGGCCCAACTCCCCTCTGACGCCGCTACTCCCTGCCCCGCTGCTTCTTCTTCTGCCGGTGCTGCTGCTGCGTGTGTGGAGGAGTGCAGAGCAGAGGAGTGGTGGGGCAGGGCGGGCAGGGGGGTGAAGTAGAGTGTGGTGGGGTTGCTGGGAGGAGGATCTGATGGCTGCCACGCAGCTCCTGTAGTGGCGGGCGCACGCACGGCGGGGGCGTGAGGGAGGGGCGCGGTGCGGGCGACGGAGGAGGATGCAGCTGAGTGCGTGGGTGACGTGGGCCCCTCTCCCTCGCCCTCTCCCTCGCCCTCTCCCTCTCCCTCTGCCCGCCTTGGCTGCGCCCACCCGTGCTGCCCACCCTCACCCACCTTGCTCTCGTCGCTCATCCACGCCTGGTTCCTGCTGCTGCTGCTGCTGCCCGCACCGGGCGTGGCGTGGCGAGGAGCGTCGGCGGGGTGGGCGTGCGGCGTGTGCGTGGCAGCGTCGGGGCGGCAGCGCGGTGCTGCCTTGCTGGCTGACGAGGCAGCGCCCAACCTGGGGATGTGCTTCTGACGGGCGCAGAGGGGATGGGGGGCGGGCGTGGGACAGGAGGGTGCAGCGAGAGAAAGCAATCAGGAGAGAGAACTGGAAGGCGGAAGAGACGTGGGGGAAGTGGGAAGAGCATAAGATATGAGTGGGCATGTGAAGGCCATGCTGCTAGTGAACCGTGTCGCCCTGTGCTGTGCTCTTGCACGTGCCCAGCAGCGAGGGTGGAGGGACTGTGGGGTGCAATGGGTGGCTGGAAGCCCCATGCGTGGCGGCACGCGTGTAGGCGGAAGACCCCATCCATGTGGATAAAGCATGGCCCTGCGCGGCACATGTGTCTCCCAGCCCAGCGAGCGAGCGCACCTTCTTGTCCTGGATGGCCCGGCCGGCCGCCAGCGCGTCTGCCTTGAGCTTGGGGTGGTTGGCGGCCTCCCTCAGCAGCGCCACCACGTCCCTCAGCTCCGCCTGAAACACCGCCGCGCTGCAGCTGCTGGGGGCGCGGGGGAGGGACCAGCAGGCCAGTGCGAGGCTAGCAAGTTAGCGAGCAGGCTTAGAAAGGAGTATCCATGGATAAAGCGCAGGCAGATTGAAGTATTGCAGGAGATGATCACAGAGACACACTGTGGCTGCCGGGGTGATGCTGTGGCGTTGAAAGGGCGCCACACGACGAGCACAGGTGGACACTCTAATGAGTCCAGCGCGCATGAGGCAGGCATCGCTGTAGTCGTCCGGTTTAAACCCCGTGCGGGCTGCTCGGCACACAGGGCTTCTGGCGGAGACAGGCACACAGATTTCCCCTCCGGTACATGTCCTCCCCGCATCCCTCCCCCATGCGCTCTTCCACTCTCCCCCGCCCCCACCGCACCTCTCCCCCATTCTCTCCCCCCACCCCCCCCACCTGCGCATGGCGTCCTTGAGCACCCACCTGCGCATGGCATCCTTGAGCAGGCGCACGGCGTAGAGGCGGTGGTCCACAGAGGCCGCCCCCCGCAGCACCTCCTTGCCCGCGCGCAGCAGCGTCTTGGCGTAGAACTGCCATGCCACCCAAGGGAGGAAGGGGGGAGGCAGAGGCGGGATGCACGGCGTGTGAGAGGCGCGCACGGTAAAGCTCGGGCGCGGATAGCAGTTGAGCAGACGCTGGTGCGGACTTAGACATTGTGTGACACGCAGCCTGAGGCATGAGCACAAGGCAGTCCACTGGTAGCACAGAGGCAGCGTGCAGAGCAATGCAAGAAGCAGATGGCGCAGGGAGAGGCAGCGACCTTGGCGAGGGAGGCGTCAAGGTGGCAGAGCTCGGCCGCCAGGTGCAGCAGCGGCAGCGGGCGCTGCACGCCGCCCAGCGCTGCCGTCAGCGCCTTGAAGGTCCGCTCCTGCGATGCCTTGGGCACCTGCTGGCCATGAGCATGCACACACAGCACACACAAGGCTGATTGTATGTGCACACCAAGGGCACAGTAAGCATGGAGTCAGTTCAGTCAAGTCCAGTGAGACAAGTAGAGCAGGGTGAAGGAAGGCAAACGACAGAGAGCACAGCAGGCAGAGAGGGACATGGCAAGCACAAGTGCGCTGCTTTACAATCCGCTTGCCACACATCTAGCCTTGAGCGCAATGTGCCCACTCAACTCAATCGGTCCGCCCGCCCACACTCACCTGCTTCCACTTGCCCGCCTGCACCAGCGCCAGCAGGCACCTGGCCGCGCCCGCCAGCGCGTCATGCTCCGCGCTCCCCCCAGCCACCGCCCCGCCCCCTCCGCCCACGCCTGCCCCTGCTGCGTGCTGGTGGTGGTGCTGCACGTGGCGGTGGTGCTGCTCCGCCAGCTCCGCTGCCAGGGGGTCACAGATGGCCGCCAGCACTGCGCACACACGCATCGCCACACCCACGCCCGCTCAGGGCAACAAGATGCATCAACGAAAGACACTGCCACTCGTATTGTGGAACAAATCGGAACGGGGAGAGCATGGGAAGAGGGACCAGAGTGCACGGGCAGTAGGTGGGACACGTGCACTGCCTCGTCAGCGAAAAACGCACCTATCTGAGTCTCCGCCGTGGCTGCGGAGTGGGCAGCGGGGTGATGGGGGGGCGCGACGCAGTGCGTGGCCATCTCCACCACCACGTCCGCGCACGCCGCCTGCAGCGACGCCGCGCTCCTGCCGCCGCCGTTGCCGCCGCCGCCCGGTGTGCCTGCAGCCGCTGCCCCCACTCCACTGCTGCTCGCCATGCTGCTGCCGTTGGCGGCGGCGGCGCCCGCGGCGAGGGCGCGCACGAGCGCCGTCATGACCTTGGGCACGTGCAGCGCCATCTGCTGGCCGTACGTGCGCGCGCACTCGGCGAACAGCGACACTGCCACGCACGCACGCACGCACGCAACGAACCACCACGCAAGGAATGAGCACCGATGGGAATACTTCTTTTACAGGGCTAGCATGCTGTACCCATGCTCGGCCGGCAATGCATGACAACATCTCTGCTACAATCAATTAATAAAAAAAAGGATTACACGCAAGCCCTTCAATCGTACGGATTGCGGACCAATCCCTCGCGCGCCCAAGCGCCGTGCGTGACGCATGTTTCGCTCTGCTCACCGGCCTATCGCTCTGCTCACCGGCATATCGCTTGCTGCTCGTGTGGCGCACAGTCGTCTCCGCCACGTGGTGCAGCAGCCGCGGCATGACCTCCGGGGCCACGTCTTTGACCGTTCGCCTGCCGTCGACGGAAATGGATATCGGGAAGCGAGGATGCAATGGAACGGCGAGCACAAGATGAAGCTGACAGTAGTCACGGCAAGTCTAGTTTTGTACTTCCTGGGTGAACATGTGTGCACTACGGGATCGCGGTTGACAACCCACGGAGAGTCCATCGGCGCAACCGGCGCCACGGCAATCACAATCAACAGTCAACTCTAAGAAAACGAGTCAACGGCACGGCAGTGGCATTAGCGGCACGGCAGTACCTGAGAGCGGCCAAGGACCCTCTCCTGGTGTGCGGGTCCTCGAGCGCCTCGAGCGACTCCCGAAACACGGGACTCGACCATCCCGACATCCCGCTCCTCCGCCTCCTCCGGTTCCAGTCACAAGCCTAACCAGCGCAATGCAGATCTATCCGGATGCCGGAGATGACAAAAAACAAGACTCGACGTTCAACGTCGTATGGGTTGCGTAGGTGCTTAATACTCGACATAGACATGACACCGGCCAAATTAGTGACAAATGTTTATGTGTTATTCCCCCATCTACAATTGTTTGTTCCCATACATAATGAATTTTGGTCCGTATGTTACGTTGAACGAATATATATATTTTTTACCTTTAGCGGGATTATATTTTAGACATATTATGATAGTAATAATAATAATAATATACAAATTGTACTCATTATAATAGCCGATTCAATGCAACTACTTGTAGTGTGATAAGTATTTCTAGAACTGTAAAATTGTAGGGAACAGGAGTCTCCGTTCTTGCTTTGTCATGCTGTATTCTAGAGCTGAGTCACCTGAATATTATTTTAAAGAAGCAATTAATTAAGTTCTTCATTTTAACTTTAAAACGGGATATCGTATATGGTGCTTCGTTCTGCGCTGGCAGAAGCTGTATTGTTCTGCGGTGGCAGAAATTGTATCGTTTTGCGGTGGCAGAAATTGTCTTGTTCCGCGCAGGCAGAAATTCAGATTCTGCGCTGGCAGAAATTTTATCTCTGCGCTGGCATCCCTCCCTTTCACAGCTGTCAACTCAATTTCTGCGCTCTTTTCTTGGTTCTTGTTCTGGTTCCTCTCGATCGACTCGACAAGCACACCTGCTCTGCTCTTATTTCTCTTCCTTCCCCCCACCCCAATTTCTCGCCAGTTCTCCCACCCAGCCGTCGCTCTCGCTCCCATCCCGCCGTATCCTCTCCCTCACTACCCGCCTTCACCTCTCCTATTCACCTCACAGTCACTCAGTCCCACCCCGCGATCTCCTCTTCCTTACCTCCCCGTCGTCGCCTCTCCCTCCTCCCCGTCGTCGCCTCTCCCTCCTCCCCGTCGTCGCCTCTCCCTTACCTCCCCGCCGTCGCCTCTCACTCCTCCCCGCCGATTCGCCTTTCCCTCCTCCCCGCCGTCGCCTCTCCCTCCTCCCCGTCGTCGCCTCTCCCTTACCTCCCCGCCGTCGCCTCTCACTCCTCCCCGCCGTCGCCTCTCACTCCTCCCCGCCGTCGCCTCTCACTCCTCCCCGCCGATTCGCCTTTCCCTCCTCCCCGCCGTCGCCTCTCCCTCCTCCCCGTCGTCGCCTCTCCCTTACCTCCCCGCCGTCGCCTCTCACTCCTCCCCGCCGTCGCCTCTCACTCCTCCCCGCCGATTCGCCTTTCCCTCCTCCCCGCCGTCGCCTCTCCCTCCTCCCCGCCGTCGCCTCTCCCTCCTCCCCGCCGTCGCCTCTCCCTCCTCCCCGCCGTCGCCTCTCCCTCCTCCCCGCCGTCGCCTCTCCCTCCTCCCCGCCGTCGCCTCTCCCTCCTCCCCGCCGTCGCCTCTCCCTCCTCCCCGCCGTCGCCTCTCCCTCCTCCCCGCCGTCGCCTCTCCCTCCTCCCCGCCGTCGCCTCTCCCTCCTCCCCGCCGTCGCCTCTCCCTCCTCCCCGCCGTCGCCTCTCCCTCCTCCCCGCCGTCGCCTCTCCCTCCTCCCCGCCGTCGCCTCTCCCTCCTCCCCGCCGTCGCCTCTCCCTCCTCCCCGCCGTCGCCGCTCCATCCTCCCCGCCGTCGCCTCTCCCTCCTCCCCGCCGTCGCCTCTCCCTCCACGCGGTTGCCTCTCCCTCCTCCCCGCCGTCGCCTCTCCCTCCTCCCCGCCGTCGCCTCTCCCTCCTCCCCGCAGTCGCCTCTCCCCCCCTACTTTGTTTTTTAGTGCATCAAGGAAGCTGCATTCTCTGATTTTGTTTTCTTGTGCAACTAATGCACGTTGTATTCTCTGAATTTGTTATTGTTTGTGCAGGGAGTGAGTTGCATTAGCTGATTTTTCTTTCCTGTGCAGGGAGTTCAAGCTGCAGCCTCTGTTTCTTGCGGAGAAAAGGGATGGGGAGAAGGGAGATGAGGGAAATGAGGGAGGGAGGGAGGGGAACAGGGGACAGGATAGTGATAAATAATTTATACAAGGCTGAAATTCATTCAGGGTGTATATAGTGCATGCTTATTACAGTAGCTGTATGTTTTTGCGTTGTGTGTGTCTGTATATGTGTAAGCCTGTATGTGTGTGAGTGAGTGCGTACATGTGCATACGTGTGTTGTGCGTGCTTCAGGGTGTGGTGCTAAGTGCCTCGTGAATGCAACTCGGATTGTGATCGTCGGTGGGGCAGCTTTGCTAGCCTCTTCCGTACCATATCAATCTTAGTTGCAGCACTGATGCATTTAGCATTCGCTTTGAAACATTCTTAAATGTTGTCTTCTGTTTTTGTGATCATTTATGTGTTATCGTCTGTGCTTGTTTCGGGGGTGTGGTGCTAAGTGTCTCGTGTATGCAACTGGGATTGTGATCGTCGGTGGGGCAGCTTTGCTCGCCTCTTCCGTACCATATCAGTCTCAGTTGTTGCATTGATGCATTTAGTATCCCCTTCAAAACATGTACGACGGTTCTTGTACACCATTGTTTTTGTGTTCATTCGTGTACCCGTATGTGTGTCTCTAGGTGGTACGGTATTGTAGTATTTTTCGTGTTGTGTTGTCTTTTTTGTTAGTGTGTCATTGGGTACCGTATCATCTTTAGTGCTTGAACGATTCTTCAATTGTTCCATTCGCCGTACTTATCGACGATTATGGAATGATTGAAAACATTTGTTTCTATTTTTTTGGGGAAGCTATGTGAACAGTGATTTCTCTCAAAATTTATAAGAGAAATTCACTGTTCACATCAGCCAACCGAAAAGTGAAAACGAATGTATAAGGTTGCTACGCAACCCAAAAACCTGCACACGCCCAGCCCTCTTGACGCGTCTGGCCTAAAGTGAATAGTGGTGAACAACCACACTCGAGCATGGGCTGTGATAGGCACCTTGGATAGCGTGTGCGACAGGAAGGGGGAGAGAGTGTCAAACTATATGTGTTGCATATTGTTTAGGCTGTAGTGGGGTAGCCCATATAGGGTACAACCCAATTAGGGTTTACTACTTGTACTCCTGCATCCTGTTAGTTCATTCATTCCTGCTGCTAGTTTCTAACATGGTATCAGAGCACTAAGGTCCGTAGGACCGTTTTTTTTTTTCGGGCCCACCTACCGCTGCGGTTACCGCGCTACCCCACGTACCTGCCTGCCTTGCCTTGCCTTGTGACGTGCTGCACATGCGCTGCCTCCTGCTGCCCTAGGCCAGCGCGCTGCCCCTAGAGGCCCGTAAGGCCCGCGCGCCGCCTCTACACGCCCGTCAGGCCCGCACACAGCCCCTGCAGACCGTTAAGCACACTGCTGCCGCGCGCTGCCCGCACCGAGTCGCGCGCAGCTCGCTGCCCGAGCCGCGCGCAGCCCGCTGCAGCCGCGCGCAGCCCGCACCGACCCGCGCGCAGCCCGCTGCAGCCGCGCGCAGCCCGCACCGAGCCGCGCGCAGCTCGCAGCTGCCGCGCGCAGCCCGCGCCGAGCCCACGCAGCCCGCGTCGAGCCGCGCGCGGCCTGCTACGGCCTCGCGAGGCCCGCGCGCGGCCCGCAGCAGCCCGCGCCGAGCCGCGCGCGGCCTGCTACTGCCTCGCACGGCCCGCGCGCGGCCCGCAACAGCCCGCGCCGAGCCGCGCGCGGCCCGCTACTGCCTAGCGCGGCCTGCATCAGCTTAGCGCGCTGTCAGCGCAGCCCGCGCCGAGCCGCGCGCGGCCCTCTGCCTCGGCCCCGACCTGCCGCTGATGCGGCCCCGCCCTGCAGCTGCCACGGCCCCGACCTGCCGCTGATGCGGCCCCGCCCTGCAGCTGCCACGGCCCCGACCTGCCGCTGATGCGGCCCCGCCCTGCAGCTGCCACGGCCCCGACCTGCCGCTGAAGCGGCCCCGCCCTGCAGCTGCTTCGGCCCTGCTCTGCAGCCGGTGTTGCGGCCCCGACGTCGCCGCTGTCGAGCGCCGGCCCTGCTCGCCCGGTGAGCGCCTGCTCTCCCAGCCTTTGGTGAGCGACTGCCTGCCTGCCTGCCGGCCTGCCTGCCTGCCTGCCTGCGCGCCTGCCTGCCTGCCTGCCTGCCGGCCTGCCTGCCTGCCTGCCGGCCTGCCTGTCTGTCTGCCTGCCTGCCTGACGGC